CCTTTTGAACCCAGACTCTGCCAATCAGCTGGGAAGCAGCACTGCCAGATTACTACATCAAAACCCTAAGCCCTAAACCAAAAATGTGAGGACCAAATCTCATCCCTATGACTCCAGAAAGGTCCCATCCACCACAACCCCCCTACAGCAACCTTAATAATTGACAGCAGCTGTTTTAGCAACACCAATAATGACCCCTATAGCAGCCCTGCAAGCCTAATACAGAAGAATCCGTCACATTCTTTGAAAAAAATGCTCCAAAACCTTACCCCTAAACCCTAAACCCTAAACCGCCTGTATGTAGTAGCTGCTCTTCACTCATTTCTGAGCCAAGCGTCGCTTCTCGGCCTCGGGGTCCTCCGGGTTCACGTCCGGGTGCTCCTCAGCGTGGAGTGAGCGGCTTCCGCGTGTTGCGATCTGGGGGGTTCCGAACATAGGGAGCCCTAATTTAGTACCCGAAATAATAGGACCCCAAAATAAAGTACCCCTTATTTTCGGAAACTCCCATTTGGATCCTGCATTTTGATGGTAAGTACAGAGTCTCTCTCTCTCTCTCTCTCTACAGACACATACATATATATATATATATGTGTGTGTGTGTATTTGAGGTTGGTCTGTCTACATCCTGTGCAACACAGGCTCCGAGAGCGTGATTTGGCGGAAGGCCTTGCGTGCATCCTTGGCAACGAGGCTTCATAGTTTCATGTCTACAGAGGGTTCAGACGGGGTTTGGGGCTTTGGATTACTTAGCTTCAAGGCACCTTCGTCTAAAGCACAATCCGAACAGATGCTTTGAGCCCATGCTTAAGAAAACATAGAACAACACTCGATGTAACAACTAGACTTGTAAAATCTGACTACTTGCGGTAAACATCGGCATCTGCTGTGCGGCCAAGGACTTTGCAAGTCAGGTTAACAGCGCCATGCTTCGATGCAGGTGTCTGGATTTTGCTGGGAGTTCCGGAGAGTAAGGCACCCTGGCCATGTCCCGACAAGCTTTCTGCACTTGGAGGCCCCGGACCACCAACTCAAGCACGCCGAAACTGTGTCATTCGGAAATTCAGTTAAACAAGTCGAAGAAGCTTCTGCAAACAACATGTCGTCCCCAGCCGGTGAAACAACTTCGAACACGACGACCCAAACAGAAATGTAATGGAATACCAAACCGTGTAAGACGTATCCACAAACAAACACCTTTCACAAAAGTAGATGTAGCGAATATCCACACCACAAGCCTTAGCACTACAACCCAACGTCTTACACCCTAAACTGCCCTAAACCCTAAGCCCCAATCCCAAAGCCAGAAAACATGTAACTCTGCGAAGGCTCACCCTGGCTGGTGCCTCTTGGCAGGCCCAGGACCTACAATGCTTCCCGGTTTGTTAGGGTTCAGGGTTCAGGGGTAAGGAACCTGATTCCAAGCTACAAAAACTACAACACAGCGGGATGTATAGCAAACGTGTCTTCTTCTGGAATGCTCGGGGTTGGAGCAGAAAATGCCATTCAAAACAGAATCCGATAAAAGACTGATGTAGTGCTCGGTTTGTCTCTCCGGCTCTCTCCTACCATGTACACGTGACGTATACTGCGTGCTTCACTGAAATGGAAACATGTAAACACGTACTGTGCTGCACCATATGATGAGATGACGTCTACTCCGTATACTCGCCTTGAATAGAGAAGCCTGCGTGCTTACTACTGCTGAAGTAAAGAGTGGAGCCCACATCTACAGCCTACACGCCTGAGCCAGGGTGCAGCAATCAACACCAGAGTCTCGGAGCAGAATTTGCACCCTGAAAAGAACCATCTATGTGTCTCCGGCTGAAGGGCATCGAAGGGATTCTCCGTCTTCGGCTTCGGAGCCGTCGCCCGGAGCACAGTGCGAGGAGATGGCTGCTGGGGCCTCGAGGGAAGATGTTTCGTGGTTTCTGCTTCTGAAAGTTTGCACTTTTTGAAAAAGAGACTTGTCAAGTGCCCCACACATGTAAGCAAGCGTCAACACGCAGGCCCTCCCTATATCTTAACCGAGGCTGAAACCACCCACATATACAAACAAGTTTCACACACAGCCTTGGTATATTATACTTTGCTACCCTCTCATTGACTATGCGATACTATGTCATCTTTCATTAGAATTAACCTGTTATCTTAGATTATGTTATACTGTACTATGTTAGATTATATCTTAAGACATATTAGATTATGTCCTGCTCCCTGACAGAGAATGGCCTGGGGCCTAGAAAGCAGCGCACAGCCGCCAAAGACCCGATGAGCCTGGGCAGCGATGCACAAAGCGCTGCCACCATCAAGAATAGGTAGAGTTTAGGGCCTATTGAGGGGTTTAGGGTGGTTTAGGGTTTGGGGAACGAGTCGAAATGACTTTGTCTGAAAGCTTGCAGAACATGAGCAGCTCGCAACCCGGAGAAGCGCAGTAACACCAATGTTTCTAGGCCTTGTGGATCCCAGGCCGGCTACGGAATCTCCAGTGGCTCCATAGCTTTGGGTTGGGATCATTACTTATTGGGGCTTCCTGAAGCGATGCTTTGACGGGTTTCTTTTCGGGCTCTGTAATAAGGGTTTACTATATGGTCTACATCGAGATCATTCGTGCGCGTACCGAGATGTGCCTTAGAGCCTGAACTCAGAGTCAGGAGGATACCACACAAAATGTCCTTGCAAAGGAGCTCGTGCGGCAAAACCCAAACCACACATCTGTTCTTTTTTAAAAGAGCGACTGAAGACCTGTATCTGCGATCTTCTGCTTGGAGGTACCCCTTCTCGGACTTATGAACGGCGGCCGGGTAGCAGCACCAGACCGGGCAGAACCCGAATTGCCGCCATCGCTGGCCAAGGAGCGCGACCCTATGTTTTATATCACACTGAGCGAACCAATAGGACTAGGAGCCCCTCCAAGACATAGTAGGTGCTGTCAATGGCAAACATGTTGTTGAATATGTAGTCTGACAGGTCTGCATAATCAACTTAAAGCAGTTCTAGTCTCGACAGAGCGTCGGCCAACATATCCGCCATCATGGAAGAAAGCTGAGGCACGGCAGTCGTGACGCTTCCTCTGTAACAGAACGCGAAGAACTCAGCCATTGCCCCAGCTCTTTGCAAGCATCATAGCTTGTGGGGTGAGGCCTCGATGTTGGGACGAATTAAAAACCGGAGTGGCACAAGGGACACGATGATCTAAAAACAAGCAAGAATCGCAACATCAGATGCCATAGCTCATTCAATCTAGATGCAGGCTCGACGGGCCTTGCCAGGCGCTCACACACACTTTCAGACGGCCTCGACTTGCTCACACAAACGGGCACATGTACACACACACACACACACACACGATAATGCATGCAATAGCTCTATGTCCTCTGCATTCTTGTATATGCATCGCTGTAGGTGCCTAACAGCATCTCTCTCACACACACAGAGGCAGATGGGTAGCTAGCTCACTAGATAGATAGACAGATAGAAAGATAGATAGATCCATAGAGAAATAGAGAGATAGATAGAGATAGAGAGAGATGGAGACGGAGATGGAGATAGAGATACGGATAGACATAGAGATGGAAGCATATATAGAGATAGGTGGTAGAAACATAGCTCCCAACAAGCACACGCAAGTCGCCAAACACAAGCCGGCAATCAAGTAAGCTTCAACCGGGAGTGAAACAGCCTGTGAAGAATTGAGGGTCAAATGATGCCGAACTTCAAACGTCGAACTTCATTTATGAAATTCAATCGCCGGTCATGCTTCACATGAGGGCATCCCAGCTCTAAAGATAGAAGCAACGACCTGTAAAGACATATGCCTAGCGAGTCTTCGCCTGTCACTGGGGCGTCCTGAATGGAACTCTAGCTGGTGAAATCAACACATTTTGCCATCTGTCAGCTTTCCTTGCAGTGCTTGGCCATCTCACTCACGATATCATCGAAGTCCTCAATCGCAAAGTCCTCTAAGCGGCTTTGCACTCTCAGCAACTGCTCATACGCCTCCTTCAAGCTTGGCCAATCAGCTGCCCTCACAAGCTGAAGCTGTTCTCGCAGCGCTGTGGACAGAAAATAAGGCACACCACCACATGAAGCCACGGTGTCATGAAAAACTTGTCCCGTGTCACTAGCGTGGCTCATGACCCCACCAACCCTCGCGAGGGCCATGACGGCATGCACAGGATTCAAACGACTTGCCTCCTGAATAAGTGCATTGATGTCTCCCGTCACTCGGTGGCTCTGCTCGAACTGTTTCGAAGGCCGGAGTCCATCGAGCTGGTGAAAAGCACGGAAAGCACGACTGCCAAAGCTCTGCAGCAGGCTCTGCACATTGATGGGTTTGGCATCTCGCCTCTGCACCTCCTCAGACACGACTTTGGTGGCGCTCAGTCTAGCATCTTTGATGAGTCGCTCTAGAATCGACGTCTTATCCGCCTCATTCAGACGACTTAAGCCAGCCAGGGCAGTTGCCTTTGGATCAACTTTGGCCCTCTTTGCGGGCGATCCTCTCGTCTCAGCACCCTGCTTTGCCATGTGCAAAAGCTCTGCGAATTGAACTGGGTTCTACACGTATTGTATCATGTCACATTAGGTTCCATGGGATAACGCAATAAGATATGTCGCCAAGTCCACCAGTAGACAACTTCAAGGGAAGCGCATGGCTAGAGAGCCTATATGCCTGCAAGTTTGAGCTCAACATGTCCATCCAGCGGTCCTTGAACCAGAGTTTCAGGCCAGAACACATTGACATCACAACTCACAAGCTGGAGATCTGCAAATCCTCCAAGCTCAACCTTCGGTTTCGACTCACACACTCGCAACTGCAGGCACGGCAATAAGTGTCCGAGCTTTCGGTTTAGGGTTTTGGCAGCACGGTTTAGGGTTTAGGGTTTCGAGATTGTCGCCTTCTACTCAGGGTTTAGTTAGGGTTTGAGGCCAACCCCTGTTGAAGACGGTGGGGGTGCAGATGGCCGATGTTCGTGCGACGGCTTCACGGAATGTGGGGCCTGGCATCGTCGAACGCTGCCGCTTCAGGCGGCGCGTGAAGCCTGGCCAGATGGGAGTCTTCCGGAATAAGAAACCCCAAAGCCCTAGATGTGAACCCTCGTAACCTCAGAACCAGCACAGGGAATCCTAGAAACAGCTCTTCAAAAACTTACCATCACCCGGACAGTCTCCGCGGAGCTAACCTATGCCGGCTCAATCCGCGGACCCTTCAAGTAAGTCTCATGATGCTACAAGACTAAACCCTAAACCCTACACCGCGAACGCGTGTTACTGGCCCGGCTACCCTCCAGCCTTGAAGCTCAAGACGCCAGCGATGCTTGGAGCGAAAATGCGGGCGCAGCAGCGACTCCTCGTAGGATTCAGTTCAGCTTCCTCGTGAGCCGACCTTTGGGAGAATACATAATACGTCCAGGCCTTGCCATGTCGAAAGAATCAGAGGGTCTCAAGCAGATTCATTATTCTCAAGCTCTAGAGAACCCTAGGCCAACACTTCTCTGCTAGGGCACTGATAACTGAGTGCCGTGTGCCATTTGCAGAGAGAAAGTATCATGGCTGTGATTAGTGGCACGCATCTCCGAAAACTCACCGAGGCTCCACCCAGCGACGGTAAGGAGCATTGGCCCAGCCGATAAAGCTCATCGCCAGGGAGCCTTAGACGCATCCGCCTCATGGTATAAGTATAGCATACTGTACATAAGTAGAGCACATTATGCCTTTAATATTCTATTCTACTCTCTTCCCTTCCGTACTTTTCTGGTGTAGTTTTGTCGAATCTAGTCTAACATACCTCACAATACTTCACAATGCAATACTATATTATGGTATCTAAGCCTGAACCTTGTTCGAAGCCTTCTTGGAGGATCAAGGGACTTAGTAAGCCAGTAAGGTTTATAGGTACCTCGAAAGGATTTATAAGTCATGAGAAATATAGCCACCTGATTTATAACTTCCGTTGGGCTTATAAGCAATGGAAAAATATAGCTAGTTACCTTGCATGTAACTTTGTAGACTTTAAATGTCGCATGATCCTCCATGTGGGGGTTTCCGAAAATAGGGGACCCTAATATAGTACCCCAAATAGTAGGATCCTTATTATAAGGACCCCAAAACAAGGTACCCCTTATTTTCGGAAACTCCCATGTTGACTGCAGGCGAGATTCCAACGGTGCCCTGCCGGGTCGATCTGGTCAGGACCTCGACCTCGGCTCCGTCGTGCAGGGTTTGTCTATACGGGCATATCGTACTGTAGTAGCTTATGTGCTCTTACAGTCTGTATAGTAAGTAAAAGATATGCACATATACATATATATACATATATATATATATACATAAGCGCTACTTTGTTCTATCATAGTGTCGTATAGTATATTTAGTTTAATTCCTACGGTACAGTTCTGTATTGTATCCTAGGCTACTTGCGAGGCCCTGGAGCCTCAGACCGGCTTGGCGAAAGGTACTGTCAGATAAGCGACAACACACACTGCCACGCCGAATCTGCTCACGAAATCACTAAACCCCAGCAACAGTGGCACAGCAAGATCGATGGCAAGCTACGACGGCTTTTGACTCCGGCTCACACCGTCACGAACGGCAGCATGCTGAGACTACAACACTGCACGCGATAGGTACTGCCAAGTTTACTCTAAGATTCTTGGCTTCAATTGTTTGGGATCACTGGAATCAAACCCTCCAAGCACAGCCGAGACACTTCCTTTTCAGCATGGGCCTTCATTTTCATTGTGTGCCCGCGAAGACTCCTTCACAACACCCTAAAACCCCCTTTTTTTGGCCCTAAAACCCCTAAACCCTAAACCCCTAAACCCCTAAAGCCTCAACGTGGGATCCGGGGTCTCCGCCCAGCCAGCTTCCGGGTCGCCCAAGCCCGGGGACTTCACGGCCAGGGTCGGATGGATCTCCATGAGGTAAGCCTCAGAGCTTGGAGTCGGTTAAGGTTTAGGGTTTAGGGTTTAGGGTTTAGGGTTTAGGGTTTAGGGTTTAGGGGTTTCGGGGTTTCGGGTTTAGGGTTTCGGGTTTGGGTTTTTTTTGCCTCCTAGGGTTTGGGGTTTAGGGTTTACACTCTCACAACTCGGACAAGCCAGGCGAGGATCCATAGGTGCACAAGTCGGCGTGACACTGTAAGCTGCCCATGCATGCTACTATCCAAAACTAAAACCATAGAATTACAAGTAAACTCAGCATACA